TGATCAAGAGTATTAGCACAAGAAACAATGGGTGACACTCTCCCCATGTTCTTTTGCAACATGTACTTTTCTTGTCCCATTTTGAACCAAAACTTTCTGCTGATGGTGAAGTGTTAAACTTCTCGTCTACATTATTTATTCGTTCGGGTTTATCTACTATGTCAATTTCTATTAAGATACCTTCCAGCTTAGTAAAATGATCTTTTACAATCGATTTATTAAGCTTTTTTACCCTAGCCGGATTTAAGTTTTGTGCTTTCATAGTCCTGATTTGAGGATTGCGCTTCATAAAACCACGTAGCCAATAACTACCAGCCATTCCTTTTCTATATTGAAGAGGACTTGGGATTTGATTGAGTTCTGTAAATCGATATACACACGAAGTATCGTGATAGTAAGTGGAGAACCAATTTGTGAAAGACGGATAATACGTTGACCTAATCCCACTTCTTGGGCATTTGTAAGTACAGCTTTTCGCCCTAGAAAAGACTAATTGCTTTCCTTCTTATAAATATTGTCGAAGTGTCCTATATTATATATATATATATATATATATATATATATATATATATATATATATATATATTTATATATATATATATATATTTATATATATATATATATATACCAACTCTCGCGCCAACCCCCACCCCAACCCCCACCTAGGCCACGCCATCATCGACGGTATAAATGAACCGTCTCCTGTTCCCAGACGTAGTAGTAACAGTGCAGTGATCAGTGAACAGTACAATAGTGTCTGGGGGCTCGGGAGACTGAGACCTCGAAAGCCCTAAGGAAGACGTCAGAGAGGATGTCGAAAGCTCGGCAAAATGGATATCGACGCGGTTCAACCCGGAAGACTGGTGAATTTAATATTAATTTTTGTAATAGTAATAATCTTAGCTCTAGATTTCATTGTAATAACTGCGGAAATCTTTCATGGGTCATTATGTCATTATCAGATGGTTCGTTGGATACTATTTCATATTACTTTCCACATCATGGGGTGTTTAATGAAAATAGTGAGACTACACGTCTAAGAGTGGTATTTAATGGGTCAGCCACTACAGATACAGGTGTATCTTTCAATGATTTGCAATCTAATGGACCAAAAGTACAAGATATTGGTATAATGGCGGATGTAACATAGATGTATTAATTTGGTTATGGTTAATAAAAGTTGGAGAAATCAGTTGGGATTATCATGTGGTATGTATATATATATATATATATATATATATATATATATATATAAGCATCTTTGTCTTCCTTGTTTTTGTTGTTATCCATTGCATTATACCGAGATAACTAATTAGTTTGAAAGTTATTTAAATTGTTTATCTCAGAGGTCACTTCTTGTAATGACATACGACGTAAAATAATGAAGATATGGTAATTCTACTGGTACCAAATGGAAGGTGAGTACTTTTACTCTTTACATTTTTTCAAGAAAATTAAAAAAAAAACATTTTCATATTTTCACATTTTCACAAACATCATGTTGTTCTAGCAATGAAAAATAGAATCACTAAGATTTGCCATCCTAAATTTGTTAACAAAAACATTAAAATTTTATATGATATATTGTTATTTAATCAATATCCAAAAAAACTGCTTAACAAATTGTTATTCTCTAATCCTATTGTAAACAAAGATGCAAATCAGAATGTTACTCTAGTTGATACTCATACGAGATATGGTAAACTACCTTTTATACAAAATCTTTTTAGATCACTTATTAGTTTATTTAGTGAATTCAATATAAAAATATCTACTTACAACCAAAAAACACTTAACTTGTTTTACACCCGATTAAAAGATCCTACTCCCACCTTACAACGTTCCAACGTAATATATGGCATCCCATATGAATGTGGCTTAGTTTATATTGGTCAGGCTGGCCAAAGGTTAAGTAAAAGATTGGCCCTTCATAAAAGTGATTGCAGACTCAAACCATAGATAAAGAATATATATTACCGGAATATATATTACTTAAACCACAATCTACAAGTCTTAGTATTCACGTCAATAGCAAAGACCACAGAGCCCTCTATAATGACACATTCATCTTAGATGTATCTAATAGAGATTTTCAGCGTAAAATACTTGAGATGTGTTACATTTATAATGCGAAAAATGCCATCAATCACAAGAAGGATGTAGATAATTTAAGTTCAATCTACACCTTCCTGCTTAAACAAAATATTTCAGGAATAAAAAAATTGTCGCCTAGATATATGAGTGATATAGGTTAGATTTTTAACTATTTTAATTTAAAAATATATAATATAATAAAAAAAATACTATATCTCCATCATTATTATAAAAACATTCCTCATCTGTATTATTTTATTATATTTTCAATCAACCCGTTTAAATGACAATTTTAATTATTTTATTTTTTATATTTTATATTTATTTTAGTATTCGTTGTTAACATTTTAGATTACATATGTCATGTTTACATTTTAAATTATCCCACTATTTCAAACAAGTTTAGTGACACCGCCGTAAATTGTTAATTACTTTTAGATTGTTTTAAACTACGTGTAAATTTTTCAATTGTTTGTGGTTAGATTTATAGTAAATATATCGTTATTAATTAAATAAAAAACACATTGTAAACTATGGATACCACTTCTTATGTATCTGCAACTATGTTTAACATATACATAGATAATACTTTCTTTGTGTTCAACCCAAGTCACTGAGTTACTTGCTAGAATTAGGGTAAGTGTTTTATAAATTTATATACTTAGTTTCCACTTGTTCATTGTTTGTTCTCTCGTTTGTTTGTAGTTTACTCTGATGATGTCAATAATCATTGACGAAAGCTTAGACCTTTAATTAAAAAGCACATCTAACGAAGCACCCTAGTTTTATTTTGCTTCCTCAGTTATAAAAGGGTATCTCCCAGTATTTTCTCCTTTTCACTATATATATATATATATATATATATATATATATATTATATATATATATATTATATATATATAATCTAAATATAATGAAAAATATTATTAATTATTGTGTACTTATACAATAATTAGTGTGTTGTACATATGTTAAGTGGTAATTTAATTATTCAATTAGCGTTTTGGATTTTTTGTATTGTGCGAAAGACAAGTTACATTTTCCTACTATTATTTACATATTTTTTACTTTATATGTCCTGGGGGGTTTTAACCCCCAAAACCCCTCCCTGGGTGACTGAGTGCGCCCAGAGATTTCTGTACCACAAATGATACAAAAATATTACAAATTAAGAAAGTAGCGGCTATTTTTTTAAGATAAAAAAAAAGTTACTTTGCAGTGTTCATTGTAACTTATAGCTGGATCATCTGTTGACAAAATAACAAAAAGACTTCGTTAGTTTATGAGATTTCCTAGCTCGCAACGTCGATATATTATTGATTTTATCGTTTTTTTTTTTCAAATTTTAGAATAAAAAAACGACTAATATGATGTTGTAAAATAATTATAACAACAAAATTGACAATAACTCGTCGTTGCGACCTATTAATTTATCTGTAAAAGAAGTGTAAAAAATTTGATAAGGATCGATCAAGTAGTTTTTGAGACACAGTATCTTTACAAAACAATTTTTTATAAAAATGATTTTTTTTAACTTTGTTTAATGTTTATCAAAGGTAAAAGTCTTTATCTTTTGTAAGATAAACACTTAAATTCGTATTCGTAGAATTATTGTATCTTTATTATTTTATGTCCCATGATATTACAAAAAAAATTCCCTTGAGATAACATTTATATAATTTAAATAATTTTTAAACTAACTAATGGATGAAGCTAGGATTTTAATTATTTTTTAAGTACTCTCAGACCCCTCTTCGAGTGCAATCACAAAAGTGTGATTTAATTTTTACAAAAGTTATAAACATAATGATTTTATCTTCTTCTGAGAAAATAATAATATTCGAACAAATTAGATAGTACCTACTCGTCGTATTTCATTAGACATAGATAAATAAATTTATTATGAAGTTAAGATCAATACTTACTCATCTTTTTATAATATTAGTTTTCATTTCAACTTGCTGAATATTGTCATTATCTCTGCACATCTAACTGATTAATTCTTACATATTTCACTCTATGGTTCTTTAACAGTTTATGTAGATCTTAAAACCAATAAAACACTATTTCAATATACTATTATTTTACTTAAAATTTTTCTTCCGTATAGGTGCTTACCTATAAATCATATCCAAGGTTGAAAATGCGTATTTATGTAATTAAAAAAAAAAGTACAAAAATTATACAAATGTCCATTTAAAATAATTTTATATATTCAGGAATTTTAGTACATTAACGTCATTGACTTTCTACAGACAACTGTTCCGTTTTTCACTGTCGACTGATAGTTTAGAATACACACGATAGATGGGAGAACCATTCGAACAATTAATTATATTTTTAAAAGGCCGTAAGAATCACCAAAATTATACAGGATTTTAAGTATAAAAAAAGACTACAAAACAAAATATTAATATTAACAACAATTATTGTTATATTGAGTTTAGTACAATGTATCGAATAATACGAAAGTATGGATATTGATCATCTTGAAAAAGAATAAGAAAAACTTGTTAATCCTACCTAATCCTAACCTCAAATATCATTTTTTGACAGAGTGAGAGAGATAAAGTCATCGAGCAATAAGACAAAAGAGGGAATGTAAAGGTAGAAGGGGTAAACATATTGATAGACAGGAAGTGCCATCTTGAGAGGCCACTTTAGACAAGGATAGACAGTCTCTTTCCTTGTTTAAGAAGTCAAATTTAGTTTGGTTATGTTATTGTTTGTCCCAACTGTCACATGAAATTTTATTTATATTGAAGTTTTTTACCAATTATGTCACTTTTTAGACTATTATCGTTAATATTTAATTAAAACTTTCTAGTCTGAAAAATATTTTATAGCTATTGTTAACAAATGTTGGAAAATTTAAATTTAGCGCCTTTGCATTTCCGGATGTGTCCGCCATCAGAGGCCACTTTTTTGGTCTCCTTTTTATAAGGATTAGATTCCCTCTTTTGTCTTATTGCTCGATGGATAAAGTAAACATGCCCCCTAAGAAAGGGGCAGCGAAACCTGCTAAAGCGGGAAAAAGTGATGAATCCGGCGATAAAGGTAGCACAATATTTATTAATTTTTTTTTATTTTTTATGTTAACTTTATGTTGATTTCAGGAAAGGAAAAGAAAGGGGGCACCTCAGTTAAAGTGAGACACATATTATGTGAAAAACAAAGCAAATGTTTAGAAGCTTTGGAAAAACTGAAAGCTGGTCAAAAGTTTCCAGAAGTTGCCGCTGCCTATAGTGAAGACAAAGCTAGATCAGGAGGAGACTTAGGTTAGTTAATATTTCTTTAGAAAAGGCTGTTTTACATTTGAGTGCCTGTTTTTGTCAGAATTTAAATAGTCGTTACTAGATGTTTAAAATATTACAGTTCGCACTTTTGAGTGACACTGACATACATGTAAATTTGTTGATTGTAGAGAAAACAGTTATTTAAGGCCATTGTCATTGTTTCTCTAAAAATTTCATAATTTTTAACATTGCGTATTAATGTTGTATCACACACAACTGACATTATGTTGTTGAACCTATTTAAGGCCATTGTCATTGTTTCTCAAAAATTTGATAATTTTAAACATTTCATTTAATATTGTTCTGAAGCTATTTTCTTGCGGCATTGTAAATTAATTACTATTTAACTGGGAATAAGCCACAATTAAAGATAAAAATACATTTATTGACGTTTTGTATTTTGAGAATGATTTCTGAAGTGGAAATTGAAACATCAATAAACATATTTTTATCTTTATTTGTGGCTTATTCCCAGTTAAATAGTAATTAATTGCATTTAATATATCACACACAATTGACATGACTTTGTTGAACCAAAAGAGAAAGCAAAAATGGAAATGCAAAGACATACACATCATCTAGCGAAATAGTAAAGAGAATTCTGACTTCTGACTGTGTGTCCTTAGACAAAAACAAGTATTAAGGCTGATTTATAAACTTTATGTTGGCGGTGGCGTTCGCCGTTGTCCTTGGCGCTGCCTATGATAGACTGCATTTATAAACTTTCGGTTGGTGTTAGCGTTAAAGATCACATCTAAATTTCTAACCTTACATTTTTGATTTGGTATTATTAATTTTTGCTTGAAAATTAATATAATGGAAAATGAAAATGCTTGCCTTTTGTTAGGTACAGTGGCACTAATACTTTGTATTTGAGCAGCACTGAACTGCGAAATAAAAGACAATGTCAATACAAACCGAAGCCCATTAACCAGAACAGAAAGACAAGAGGTAATTTGAATTATTATAAAAATATGCAAAACTGGGATACCCAGCAGTTTTTTAAATATACCAGGATGCAGATTCCAGTATTTGAAAAATTACTGCAAATGGTAAAACCAAAAATAAATGTAAACTATAGCTCTGATGGAATTTCTGTTGAAGAGAGGCTTGTTACTATCTAAACTCTTCCACTTTATAAACACATGGAAACACAAACATAAACAAATAATTTAGTTTGATTTGTTTGACAAACCTGGTCACTTTTTCGGTATTGCTATTGGCTTCAATGACAAAGATACAGTTTTCTTATGTTCTGTGATTGTGACTACAACCACAGAAGGGTTGGTGTATTCTGTGCTGCAATGGCCAACCGCAAAAGATAAAGTTGGTTCATCTTGAACGGAACCGAACGCCAATGCAAACGATGTTTATAAATAGACATGCAAGTTTCCCATTTGACCATATTCTAACTTACATGTCAGCGCCAACGTAAAGTTTATAAATCAGCCTTTATGAATATCACAGTGTTAATAACTCAATTTGTGAAAACTTGAGATGTGTTGTTGAATTACACTTATGTCATTATTTCTCCAAAGGTCCAAAATATTTAAAAAAATGTATAACATGTTTGAACATGATTGACAACAAAGTTATCAGTTAAGAATAACATTACACAAGGACTCAAAAGATACAAAAGCCTATGATGTATGTAAAAAAATATAAATATATTGTGGCTCTAAATAATACTGTAACCAATAGTCCTATACAGAATTCTTTTATTTTTAGGTTGGATGATCAGAGGCTCAATGGTTGGACCTTTCCAAGATGCTGCATTTGCCTTACCTATTTCATCTGTTAACAGTCCTGTATATACAGATCCTCCAATTAAGACTAAATTTGGTTATCATATTATAATGGTAGAAGGAAAAAAATAATTTTATGTTATTATATATTTTTGTATATAGATAGTGAGCTTTTTATTTATATACCTTCTAAAGTAAACCTAACAGAAGTGAAAATCTGCGATTAATATCATAAGCAATAAATTATTATTATTGCCTGGTTTTTGATCATAACATAATAAATACATACTAGTGCTATATTTATAATTTTTGATAAAATAATTTTTATTTCAATAGTTTCTTTTTTAGTAATTTTGATTTACAGAGTAATTATTAATTTCTTTATATTGTTCCTCAATCCTTTTGGGTGAGTTTTCACCCCCAGTTTTTTATCTTAACGAATTTCTAAAAATGTTTGTCCTTCATATTTTTGACACTATCAGAGCAACAATGAAAATCAGTATAGGTCAGAAAAGATATAAATTAAAAAAATATAAACAAAATGAATATATTGCATAACCCAGAAAATCTTTTTCAACTATTTCAAAATACATAAAAGATTAAATAAATTCCAATAACGAAAAAATCACAAAAGCAGTAGATGAAAATTAAACTTTGAAGGTCTTGAGAAGAAAACTGACAAAAGCCTTTAAGAGTCTGTTTAAGAGAATTCTTAAACAGACAGGCTGAGGATGTTAGACAGGGTGAAGACGAAATTAAAATTAAAAAATCACTACAAGATATGAAAAATAATAAATAGTCAAATAAAAAAAAAAACATCAAATAGTCACATAATAAATAAAAATTAGAGGTAACATCTCATCAGAATCAATAAAAATATTCAATTTATGCTCATACAATTTGTCCTTACCACATAGCGGGAATAATATACTGATGATTCTGATGCATAAAAAAGGTGACAACTACTGACTTTAGGCCTATAATTATTCAACATGTTTAAGCTTTTCATGAAAAAATAAGAGACTGGAGAAAAAAACTAAATTTCTACCACACAGTAGATCAGGTAGGCTTGCGTTCCAGATATGAAACAAATAATCACCTTATATTAAATCTACTCATTGAAAACACAATAGGCCAAATAACTCAATAAGCCATTGTTTCTTGTGTTTGTTGAGTTTCAGAAAGCATTTGATACCATTGAATTGCATGTAATTCTAGAAACTCTTTGACATTATTATGTATCAAATACCTGTATTGATACATAATATTAGCAGTAACTTAATGGCCAGCATAAAGGTCCATAATACTATCAGGAAGTTACCTATTCAAAAAGGAACAAGACATATTCAAAAAAGAATAAAAGATACCCCCAAAACAATATAACACTATTTTAGAATATGCTTTTAATTAGGCTTATGTGTTAAATTATCAAAAGACCAAATATCTCTAGCGAAAAAATCATCAACAAGTACAAGTACCTATCTAGGAAACGAAATTGAATAAATAAATACAACTGAACACAGGAAATACAAAAAAAAATAATCTTACATGGGTCATATATGGAAGGTTAAGCCATGCTTTAAAAGCAACTTAAAGATAAACCTAAAAACAAGTATATGATCAATTTGTATTGCTGGTAACATGGTACTTGAACGTTTAAAGTGACAACAAAGTGTACATAAAATAGAGCTCTCCCAAATGAAAAGGAAAATGGCCACGTAATTCTAACCTATGGCCATGTAAGAAATAAATACATGCAATAAAAAACAAAACGACAAGAAATACTACAATGAATAACGTCTCCAAAATGGAAGTGGACAGGACATGTTACGAGATTTAAAAACGGCAGGTGATTAAGAATAATAAATTATATACACAGATCAGAGAAAAGAAGCAGATATAGATCGCTAATGAGTTGGAGCGACGATATAAAAAATAGAAAGACAGTGTATCAATTTAATGGCGCCATCAGGCTGGGAGATAAAATGAAACTCCTTTTGTTTGAGATATACTTACATTTCCAATTATTTTTTTAAATAAAATTATATATACTGTGCAATAATTATTTTATGATCCAATTTAATATAAAGAAAATATATTTTCTAATAGTTTCGTCTTATGTAAAATACTCACGGTCGTAGCCTGAGATAATAACAATCTAATAAGTTCCCTTTTTGTTATCTGATTGTGTTTTTCTTGATCATATTAATTTTTACCGTTGTGTTACCTGTAACCAGCAAAAGTGAGATATCTTAATTATCATTTACGTGTTCACTGAACAGAATCTAGATTTCTATGTAAATGTCGTAGTGATAATTTCTCAAGCGTTCGAATGACAGTTCTTGGTTGCGTTATCGTAAAAAATATTAAAAATGAATGTAGGTAGTCGGTAAATAGATTTATTTGGTTAAAAATTTACACCCAGTCTTTAAAATTACATCTATACATCAACTTTTGTTTGTCTATTTACTTTTTTAATTAATTTTTCACTTTTGTTTTTCTTGGCACTCGAATTTGTTTATTCCGAGTCTTATTACTTCGTTATTTAGCCATAAAAAATATATTTTTATAAACTGATAAGTAACAACTCAAGTGTAACCGTAATCACTGATTCGCTAAAGATAAGCAATGCGCTTCCTAACATGACATTAGAAATTACATGAGTAAAGTCTATCCCATGAATATTCGACTATTTTCGTATATTGTTTTCGTATAAAACAGTCGCATATTCATGGAATAGACTGTAATTTCTTATTAGTAAAACAAATATAAATAACTGTGATTGAAAAATAGAAATTAATTTTGTACATGGATGTAAGTAGGTTTTATTAAAGCCTTTATAAAAAAACGTGCATACAATGGAGAAATATAATTTTCTAGATGAGAAGGAATAACGTAAAATAAAAACTAGTAGTAATCAGAATGAAACGAAAAGAGTGCCTAGTGATTATGAAAGAAAAAAGATAAACAAATTAAATGTGTATGATCAAGAAGGATATTGAAGGAAGAAATAGAAGTGATAGAAAGCAGGTACCAAGAGGAAAAAAAAATGGATGAAATTTTCTTAAGAAACAAAATAGATGCCTAATATAAAGTTATTAGGATAGAAAATGCGTATAGATATATGCGTATAGGTATATAGAATAAAAAGACAAAGAATGAAATAGATTATATCTTAACGAAGAATAGAAACCTAGAAAGAAGACGTATCAGTATTAAATCAGTTTGACCTAGGAAGTGATTATAGACTAATAAGAACAAAACTAATAATTAACAAAAAACTAGAAAGAAAAAGAATACATGAAAAAAGATACAAATGGACATCTGAAGAAATCAAAAATAGTGAATTTAATAAAAAGATAGTGCATGCATTAAATCAAGTAATCATTCATCAGATAATCTCTAATGATATTGATGATTTGAATAACCTTATTACAGAAACAGTGAATAAAAGCCTTCTACAACTGAAAAAACCAAAAACAACATACAATGAATTAGACAAAGAAATATTACAACAAATAGAAAGAAGGAAGATCTTAAATAAATCTAACAAAAGGGGAACCGACGAATATAGAGAGCTTAATAGGCAGATTAGAAAAGAAATCAGACAACAAAAAAGAAAAGAAAACGAAAAATTAATAACAACAACTATTAAAAAAATAAGAGTTTGAAATGCCTCAGACCGACACTAGGACGACGTTAGATGATATCATTAATGGGAAAAGACGAAAATGAAATCACAAGTAGAGAAAACATACTGACACGAATAGAAGAATTTTACACAGAACTTTACAGATCACATCAACAAGATGATGAGATGAGACCAGCACGAAAATTAATAAAAAATTTTGGATCAGAAATAATGCCAAAAGTAACAATTTCAGAGGTAACTACAGCATTGGAAAACATGAAGAGAAATAAAGCTGCTGGAGAAGATAGTATTACCACAGATATGATATTAGAAGGAGGTAAGGAACTAATTGCAATTGTAACTAAGCTTGTGGACAGTTGTTTACATCAGGGCAAAGTCCCTTAGAGCTGAAACAACTCTAAAGTAATCTTATTACACAAGAAAGGCGATAGTCGAAAATTGGAAAACTACAGACCCATCAGCTTACCGTCACACCTGTTTAAAATACTCACCAAAGTCATAACTACTCGACTAACAAGGAAATTAGACGAATACCAACCATATGAACAGATAGGTTTTAGAAAAGGCTATTCAACTTCCGATCACCTGTTAACCACAAAAATATTAATAGAAAAATGTAACGAATACAAGTTTCCAGTTTTCCTAGCATTTGTAGACTACGAAAAAGCTTTCGATACCATAGAACACACGGCCGTAATAAACGCAATGCAAAATTGTAGAATAGACAGCAGATATATTAACTTAATAAAAGAAACTATGAAACCAAGCAACAGCTACATACTACCTAAATGAAAATGAACACACGAACCCTGTACCATTAAACGGGGTCAAACAGGGAGATACTTTCACCAACGTCACTAGTTTTGGAGGACGTTTTTAAAAACCTAAAGTTGGAAATATAAGGGAATAAACATTAATGGCCGCTACCTCAGTAATCTACGATTTGCAGATGACATAATCCTGATAGCTACTGACCTACAAGAAATGCAAACCATGCTTTTAGAACTACATACCGAATCTTCTAAAATAGGACTGAAAATGAATTTAAACAAAACAAAAGTCATGCACTCCGAAGACACCGTGACAATAATAAACGATAAAGTTATAGAAAAAGTTGAAGAATATATCTTAGGACAAAAAATAATCCTAAGTAGGGAAATTCAAACTGAAGAAATAAAAAGAAGAAGAAAGTTGCTTGGGCAGCATTCGGTAAACTGAACTATATACTCAGAAATCAACAAATTCAATTACATCTCAGATCTAAAGTTTTTGATGCATGCATTATTCCGATATTAACTTATGCGGCACAAACATGGATAATCACAAAAAAGAATATGAATATACTTAGAGTCACTCAACACGTGATGGAAAGAGCAATGCTAGGTATATCACTTAAGGACAAGAAAACAAACACATGGATAAGACAGAAAACCAAAGTCACCGATGTGGTGCAAAACTCATTAAAGTTGAAATGGGAATACGCTGGACATGTAGCTAGGAGCGATCTAAACAAATGGC